CACCCGCTTGCCCACTGGCTTCTTGAGGAGCTCACGGAAGGGCTCCATCACAGGTACAGTGGCAAGGAAGGGAACCAACTGGTTAACCAGGCCGTGCCAGGACCTGATGTCAGTGATTGATGGCTGATCAGGCATGGGGCAGTGGGCTGGTAGAGGTCCCACCCCAGGAGGAAACCCACAAACTCGGCTTCTCTCCTGCAGAACAAGAACTTTTCTGGTTTCAGTGTTATACCTATGCGAGCGCAGGTCTCCAGAAAATAGTAGGTGTGCCAGAATGCCCCCTTCACACTGGAGTCATAGAGGAGAGTGTCATACACGCACTTGTACTTGCGGGACACATCCTGAATAGTGTCGTCAAACCTCTTGGTGTAGGCATCTGAAGCTGAACAATGTCCCATGGGAGTCCTGCAGTATCGAAAACAGCCCCACGGCATGATTAATGTGGTCAGGCGTCTACTCTCCTCCTCCAACTCCACCTGATGAAATCCCCAGAAGGCGTCGGCAACGGTTTTGAATGAATGCACTGGCACGCCGGACACCATGTCAAATGGTGCAGGTGTGTGGTGCGTCTCCCTCAGACAGCTTGCATTGAAGCGTTGGAAGACTACAGTGCGCCGGGCTGACCGTTTTTCTTGGCCACCACGACCATCCTGGCGCACCGCTCCGTAGCCTCACCAGCAGGCACTGGCTGGATGACGCCTCTCCTGACGTCCTCCTCCAACTGGGCCTTCACCTTCGCTTCCCAGTGTTTCAGAACGGGAGCAGGTGTGTGACAGGCGTAGGGGATTGTGCCGGGTGTCAGGTGGATACGGTGAGGAGGACCAGTCATGACTGGCAGTGGGGACCTGCTGGTGTTGAATGTGGTGAATGAAAAGTGCGTGAGCAGCCATGCCTCCAACCTGGCCACAATCTCCTCCAAAGGAGGCAAGGACATCTCAACTGGCCTAGGAGGGACACGACTGCTCTCAGGTCCAGGGTTCGGAGGTAGGTCGTCGGCAGTGTGCTGCCCCCCCTCCATCGCCCACGGCAGCCACAGCACACCTATGGAGCGGGAAGTCAACAGGCACCAAGTTGAGGCACTTGCAAGCCTCCAATGACAGGTAAAAGGCCTTGGCTGTCTGCACGAAGTAGACCTGGACAGTGGACCCCTCGCCCACACTGAGGCGGCAGGGGGCGGACCCCAGACACTTGAGCTGTTTATTCGCCATGTCCCTCAGGCCATTACGGGCCCGAAGCTGCCCCGGACACAAACCAATGTCCTGGAGCAGGGGGATGGCCCTGCCACACACACCATAGAACCCATGTCAGCCAAAGCCTGCACAGGGGTGGCGGGGGAATTGCCCCCAGCCTGGGTCACGAACACTTGTAACCTGGGGTGGCGGGATAGCTGGGCTGATGCCACTGTGACAGCACCTGACACATCCACAGAAGCGCTTAGGGCTGTCTTATTCCTACAACACCTTTTGAAGTGACCAACCTTAGAGCAATTGCAACATGTGGCCCCACTTGCAGGGCAGTTGCTTTTGCCAGAGGCATGTGTCATGCTGTAGTTCCCACAGTGCGTGCGACTGGGGTGTCCAGGTCGTGCGGCAGCTACCTCAGTCTCACCCGTGACGTCATCACCAACCGCCGCTGCCAACGTGGCTGATCCCACCACTGCCTGGCCAGACGTATGACACAATACACCAGCATCTCTCACTGCTGCCTCAAATAACGTACACTTGTTTCTAAGCACTTCAACACTATTATAACTCGAGTACCCCTGAAAAATTTCCATTTTCAACACTGGGTTACTCAGGCCCACCATAACTTTACGTAATAGCATGTACTCAGAGAGGTCGTTATTACAGGTGGGACATCATTAAATTCACACTCCACTGCCTCTGCAAAGCATCGTTGAAAGTACCTTTTCATGGGCTTCTCTTCACCTTGTTTGCTGTTGAAAAATTCATTCCATTTCACAGCTTGGTTTGACAATTGAAGAACCACTCCACTGACCGCTGGGATATCTCGAGTCAATCACCCTTTCGAGTGCAGGGACGCAGTTCAGGCGAATGTGGAGTGTGGCCACCAGTCGTGACTCCATGGACCGCCTCCATGTCCTAAATGACGCTGCTGGCATTTCTGCCTCAAACTTCTCTGGAGCGACTGCTGCTGAAGGCTTCATGACCGGCATAGGGGTATGACCGTGGCTGCCAGTAGCTAGAGATGCCATCTCAGCCATCAATGCACTCATGGTCTGCTGCTGGGTGCGCGTGGTGTTCCCCGCCGGTGTAGAGATGCCCTGGCGTCCCCTTGAGGGCGTCGAGAATCGTGGACGTGTAGGGGCCATGTTGGCGTCCTCGTCAGGACTGTTGTGGCGTGTCGGGCCCCGGCAGCCTACTCACTGTGCTATGTGAAAGGTTTGAATGATAGATCAGGTTCTTTGCAGACTTTACTATAGCAGCATCAGATGGTGACTGGCAACCAGGCGCTGCCACAAACTCCCACCTCCACACATGGGAAAACATATCGTACGATGGTACTCCACCTCACAATCTCACACGAACGAGTTACGTTCCTGAGGTTTGTTTGTAAGTCCAACTTTACTCTTGTAGATGCCAAACATATTGTAAGAAATGAAAAGATTATGGATATTTAGTACAGCTATACCCTTTAATACAGCCTTAAAACCTGACTCACTCTTCTCCTCATAGGTAATGTTTGTTCTATCTGGAATTTTCTTCAAAATAATCCAGTCTCATCCACATTAAACACCTGTTCTGGCGGGTAACCCCCTTCAGTGATGATGTTTGTATCTCTGAAAGTTTGTAAGTTGAACAATCTTAAGTAGATGAGCACCTGGACAAGGAACAGTTTTTGTGTGCCCTTCAACTGATCGAATCACCCACCAACGCTTCTCAGTTTAACCTTGTTTACAGTGGAGTGATCATTCAGTTTGTTGGTCTCTTGAATATTTTTGCATTTTTACATTAAAATTATTGGTCATTCTGAAATTTGGTTCACATATTGATAATATACTGTACAGTGCAGAAATTAATATGAAACATGAAGAAGGCATTCGAACCAATGCACTCTGTAAAGAATATGGCATGTCATCATCAACTGCTTCTACAATCAGCTGTTTGATATGTAAACAAAGCTGCCGGGAATATGACATAAACACCTCAAAGTAAGTTAAAATACTGTACAGTATTCTATTGTTTTTTATTTATTATTGCACAGTATACTGCACAGTACAGTACTGTATTTATTTATATTTAATGTTTTGTTAATTCTATTACCGGTATACAGTTCTTTGTATGTATATTTTTTCTGTGAGTTGGAACCAATTACCCAATATCCATTGAATTAATAGATTCAGTTAATGAAATTTTCGGTTAACAACCGACTCTGTAGAACCAATTGTGTTCGTTAATCGAGGGACCACTGTATATATATACAGTATACTGTAGTGGTGCTGCAAAATTAATGTCAAGAGTCCCAAGCATTGAGTCACACAATCACCCAATATGAGTAGCTTACCAGAGTACAGTATCATCTTAATGGTATAAAAAAACCCACTCAAATACCTTAAGAGCATCTGTTTTTCTGTGTATTAATAGAGGCATCCATTGGAGTTAGGGAGACAACTTAGTAAACAACTTTTTATCCTAGTGACAACAATGCTGTTTCATCACTCCAGAGAATAGTAAACCATTTGTCAAATGATTAGTAATTGGCTCTTTGTAAAACAGATATGTTTAATTATCTGGGCAGAGAGGAAAAGGGGCTTAATGGTGGTATGACAACTTTTGAGCAGAAGATCTCTAAGCAGCATGCATTTAGCTGTGCATACCCTGTACTGTTATGATTGAATTAAGGATTACTGTACTTACTTTCACAGTTTTAGAGAAGTAAGTACCGGTAATCTCTAGAACTGTGAAAGTTTAAGTTATAAGCAAAGTTTTTCTAAGCCTTTGACACTTTGATTTATGTGCCAGATTGATACCACTGAGATTCTCAATGGTAATGTATACCCAGCTTCCCTTTTATTTTACTTATTTTCTTTGTCTTTTGTCAGCTTACTAGCTGTTCGCTAGATTAATATTCTCTCTGTTATGCACTGCTGGCGAGTGCTGAGCGTGTATGGGCCCTTGTCTGTACCAGAACATGTACAGTCACCCACAAAAGTCCCGTTGCCTCTTTTGCTGCTCCATGAACCCTGAGATTCAGACTCGTGAATCCGAAGCATTTATGGACAGAATGATGCATTAGTGTTTACTGCTTTGGGGTGATGAATCTGAATCTCGGGGTTCAAGGAACAGCAGAAGAGGCGACAGGACTATTGTGGGTGACTGTACCAGTGATGGCCAAACTTAAGCAAAATGAGTTCACACTTGGTGTTGCCAAAACACTTTTTGGCAGGTACAGTAATTCCAAAAGTTCACAATATTTAATCCAGAGAAGTTAACTTTTACCAGTTTTCTGTACTGGTAACCTCTAGGTTACCAATGAGAGGTTTAATAATGTTCATATAAATGGTGGGAGAGCAAAATCCAACCTTATGCAGCCTTACACAACAGTTTATTGCAGCAAGGCACTACTAAAAGAGCATTGAAAAGTTTGGCATAACTAGAACAAATATCATAAGCAACAAAAATTATAAGCAACCACACTAAATATTCACTATCTATGCCTCGCCTACTTTGAATGAAGGTTATATCACCCAGAAAGTTGTCCAGGCCAAGTAAATGATGACTAAAAATCTACAGGAATAACATGCCAGATTGGAGTACAGTACCTTCAAAAGGTATTAAAAGTCTAGTTACATGACTTTTGGCATGCAATATAATTTAGTTTTTAATATTCTTACATTAAGAATTATGCTGATGCACAGAAAACTCTTAAAATTATTTGGAAATTCTCATTATGCAACTTGGATTCTATAAATTGTTCTCTTTATATAACACACACGCACGCACGCACACATATATTAAACAGCAGCTGCATTATCATACCTTTAGAGAGTCTGTGTGTTCTGCCAAATCTGTAATGGTTATAACAACGTCAAAGCTGTCTATATCCTCTCTGTCAATTTTTGAGCCACTTTGCACAAAAAGGTCTGCTGAGAAAATGCCATTCTCCTCTGTAACTTGACTCAGGCGAACAAGAGTTTCATCTCTGAAATAAAACATAATTGTGTGACTACGTGGAGGTGAATTAAAATATCAGCTGTTGAGGAGCTTATCGCTTGGCAACACTGGTGCATGTTACTACTCCTTTCCACTCCATCTCTCTAATCACTCACGCCTTTCTTCTTTCTCACTCCATATTTTAAAATGTTATGTAATATAATGTTGAACGGATACAACTTTGCTCATTTATACTTATACTCATCACAATCTCCCTAAAAATACTTTCGTGTTTATTCAAGACATCTTCAGGTCATGAGACCCACTAATCCCCCACCCAATAAAGGGTGACCTAATAATCCATCAGGTCAGTAATATGAGACCACTAATCCCCCACCCTAGTCAGGTCAAGACCCCGCCAAAAATACTTTAGCTTTCATCTTCATTCAAGACATTTTCAGATAATTCTCTTGATTTTTCAACCTTGGAAAATTTGTTCCTAAAGCCTGAATTTTTTTTTTAAATTTCCGGCCTTGGGAATGATTTTCTAAGCAAATTTCAATTCCGGCTATCGGAGATTTCCGGGTTTGAGGATTCCGGTTAACGATGATATTTACTTATACAGTTCTGTATATTATTCCAAGAAAACTATGGCTGTGAGGTGTTATGGTTGTTTTTCAACTCATATTTTTGGAAAGATATACTGTATGTAACTTTCTTCATCTATTTTTCCTCAGTTACATGCACACACTATCCTATATACATATGGTGAAAAAAGTACAGTTCAGTAGAACGTCGATATAACAAGAGATAGGTTCCAAAAGAGGTCGCTTTAAACCAAATTCGCACTAAATTGAAGTGTTGTTTCAATGGAATAATTTAGTTTGGTACTTGAGAGAAACACAAAATACTAAAAAGACTGAGAGTCTACCCAGATGCACCTCAGCCCATCTACAATAAACAAAACATTGATTTTTTTAGTATAGGTTGACAATCCCTTATCCGAAATCCTTGGGGCCAGGGGCATTTGGGATTTTGGAATTTTTTGGTTTTCAGAATGGTTAGCTTTTTTTTTTTTTATGTGTGTATTAGCTCACCCGGGCACAGATCACTGACCCACATCAGGGCCTGGGGGGCGAAAATATAATAAAAATTATAATAATAATAATTCATAGGTCTAGGTCGTGTTTCTCACTTTTGATCTTTTTTTCATTCTTGTATTTCTTTATTATTATTATATTTTATTATTTTACAGTATTATTGTTATTATTATTATTATTACAGTATTATTATTATTATTATTATTATTATTATTATTATTATTATTATTATTATTGTTATCATTATTATTTTATTTTGGTGTATTTTTATTAAAATTTTTATTTACTATGAATAATTATTATTATTATTACATTTTCGCCCCCCAGGCCCTGATGTGGGTCAGTGATCTATGCCTGGTGGGCTAAAAAAAAAAAAAAAAAAAAAAAATTTCAAGTTTTCAGAGCTTTTCGGTTTTCGGAATTTCGGATAAAGGGTTGTCAACCTGTATTATGTTAAAACAAACACTCATAAATCAACACAGCTAAAATTACGGGTTGCGAAATGGTCTGTTTACTAGCGATCAGCTGATGTGAGAGGCTGGTGGCGCTGGTGCCACTCACCACTCGCCTGACTCAACCAGCACTCACTTCCCTCTCAAATTATTTTTTAATTACTTTATGCAATCAAAAATAAATTTTCACTCAACTTTAGTGTTGGGGCATGTGCCAGTTTGGCAGAAGTTCAACTGTCAGTTCCAGCTCAGCCTCCAAGCAGTGTGGACATGTCTGTTCCTCCTTGTCACCTTCGCTAATAGACAGACTATGGACACGGCCTTTCATTGTCCCCCGGGTTGACACCCTAACATGGCCCAGTGTACTTCTACGGGTGGCCCGGCGGGAACGTCACCGACGTCTACAGTGGCATCCCCAGGCCAGCACCATCGGAGCGGAGATGAACATAGTCCACACGTAGTCGTCATCGCTGGCCCAATACCATCGCCACAGAGCAATGGCAACTTACAAGGTGTTGGAGCCGGCCTGCTGTACCCTGCGCTCCCACAGCAGGCCCAGGCAGCAGGGCACCCACCTGCCCCGCCGGCGGCCCAGGGCAAGGCGTCCATGGGCATGTCTCCCATCAAATTCAGAGCCTGGGCATTCAGCATCGCCACTTACAGCAACAGATGCAACTGGCCACAGGCTCTGGCAGCAGGCTACGTCCTCCTTCTGTGTGAAACGGAGGTGCAGTGCATTGATGCGCGAGTGAACAAGTGTGTCTATGATAACTTGATGGTGGAGGAAGCCATAAGGGCTGTAGAAAGTGTTGTGGTAAGCCCAAAGTGCTTTGTGGGTGCGTGGGCAGATTTTTTCGCATACACACAAGAACCCGGCGACAACGTATCCAGGTATGTGGTGAGGTGCAGGTAAAAGGCTGCGGGGTGCAGGTTTCAGTGCCCCTCATGTGAATCTAGCTTGGATGACTACTGTACATGCTAGTGAAAAAACTAGTGATAGGGCTCGCGAACCCCGACCTCAACGATGTTGCCAAACGTGCGGATGCGGCAAGTGTGCTGGCAACCAGAAGTGTCCCACGCTGCACTTAACCTGTTACAAGTGCAGCCTGGAGGGACACCTCGCACGCATCTGCAAGTCACCAGTACAACCCAGCGCCCACGCAAGCACCTTGGGCGCGGCTGTGATCGCGGGCCTGACGAAGGACACGGCCAGTTTAACGGTGTCAATCAGCTGCAGAGGGGTGCCATAGCAGACACTGGCGCACAGGTGTGTGGACGGGCTGCAACACGTCCATGCTCTTGGGCTAGACCCACAGCACCTGGATGGGGCCCACATCGCAGTAAACCACAGCACCGGAGGGGGCGTGAACATGCTCGGGAGCAATGAGTGCCAAGTCACAGTGGGACGCGCTACAACCAGGACACGCCTGTATTTTGCGCAAGGCGTCCAGTCTCTGTGCAGAGGGCTTGGCTTGGTGCTGCACGACTTCTCCAATGCACCCACAGTTGTCGGCACCACGGGGCTCGTTGAAGAGGAGCCCAGCCCCCCTGCCCGACCCACGATGCCCCCATGAAAGCTGAAAGAAGAGAATGTGGAGAGGCTGGAGAAATGGTTTGTTGAGCACTTCGGGCATCCAGCATTCGCGGTGAACCGCACCCCCCTGCCCGAGATGCAAAGAACTCCCCACCACATTTATCTGCTCCCGGACGCTAAACTGTACGCGGTGCACACGCCCGCAACAATACTCTTCCATTTCTGCGACGAGGTTCGCCAGCAGCTCAAGGAAGATGTGAGGAGGGGCATCATCGAGCCTGTGCCAGTTGGAAAGCCGACAAATGGTGCTCACGCATGGTGGTCGTGCCCAAAAAGGATGGGCAGTCGCGCAGGACGGTAGACTTCCAACTCCTCAACCAGGCTAGTCAGCGCGAGACCCACCACACCTGCCCCCCCCTTCGACACGATCTCGAGCGTCCCGAAGCACACATTCAAGACGGTGGCGGACGCATACTAGGGGTACCACCAGATCCCACTTGATGACGAGAGCAAGAGACTACCAACATATATTACCCCCTAGGGCCGATTCCGCTACAAGCGCACCCCCCACGGGCCACTGTGCAGCGCAGGACGAGTTCACCAGACGCTTCGACGATGTGGTGGCGGATGTACCAAGGAAAATAAAGTGCGTAGACGACACGTTGTTGTACAGCTACAGCATCACCGATGAGTTCTGGGACACGTACGATTTCCTCGAGACATGTGCGAAGGGTGGTATCACTCTCAGGCCCAACAAGTTCCGCTTCTGTCTAGTGCTGTGGCTGTGGACGCATCTGACACGTGGGAAACACCATTTCCTCGCTGCAGTGTTTCCAGCACCATGTTTTTCTGCTCCAGTGTAATTGCTTGCCTTGATTTCATGGCCTGTGGGGTAGTGAATGATGTAGTAGCTGGCCTCTTGGACATAGTGGCGATGGTTGATACACGTGATAGAAGAGATAGTGTCACACAGTATATCCGTTCACTAGAGCGTCAGTGTGAGAACTGAGGATGCGTGAGGCTGTGGGAGGGTGGTGGACAGCATTGTGTAGTGTGTCCATAGACGTGTCTGGTGAGAAACATTAGGCGCAAAATTTAAAATAGGAGGCGCCAGATTGACTCCCGCAAAATAGGAAAGAATCGCTTTAAATTAAAACATTGTCCTTAATTGTGGGTGTCGCTTTAAATCAATAATCTCAAATTGAATTGCTTTAAATCGACGTTCTACTGTATTACACCATAATTACCAACATCCTTCATGCTGGGTTGGCGAGATGTCTATGAAAGAAATTTTGTAAGTTTGATCCATGTATCAACCCAGCTGGTGCTTATATGCCATTCATTCAACAGAGTTGATTTTACAAGGAAAAAATTGCTGTATGGCAACCCAACTAACCCAACTTTAATAACAAAGCATGAAGTTGACTTGAGGATAGACTCGTGCGTACTCCAGCGAGCAGAGGTTTCTCTTATGGCATCATTGATAAGCATAAGGAAGCAGAACAGTCCCATCTTGGTGCCTTAGGGGATGCCACTGGTGACTGACTGAAAAGTGGAGTCAGTCCCTCGGAAGCATACAGCTTGGCATCGGTCACGAAGAAAGTCTGTAGGCCACGGTATAAGACTTCTCTAAAACTCGAGGTCGATAGCTTTGTTGATGATTAAATTGGGGTTGATTAGGTTAAATGCTTTTTGTGTGCATATATATGTGTGGGTGGGTGGGTGTGGGTGTGTGGGTGGGTGTGTGTGTGGGTGTGGGTGTGTGTGTGTGTGGTGTGGGTGTGTGTGGGTGTGTGTGTGTGGGTGGGTGGGTGTGGGTGTGGGTCAGCTACTGCCACTGGCTAGCCCTCATGGCAAACAAGGAAGCAGCTTGCATAAGTCTTCCCCTGTCAGTACACAGCCTCTGCACCGTCAAGACTCCTGCTGTGCCTCCGCATGGCAACACACAGTAACTGGGAGCCTC